TCAATAAAACAAAAATTCTTGTATGCAATCAATTCTTGTACCAACGAAAAATCCGAGAGTCTATAGAAATCTATAAGCAACCTAACAATCTTAACCGCGACTCAGGTCTCTACCTGTCATCAATATGGGAATCAGTCATCCGAGACGGTGTTTATGCCCCTCATTTAGCTCCGCCCTCTGACACAATATAAAAGCAGGTACAGAGTATAATACGAGCCAGTTTAAGTCAAGCTCTGAAGAAACCAACAGGGTGATTGGCGAAACGTTTGCTAGTTCGACTCAACTAGAACCGGCGCAGGAGGAACGTTTTATAAAATTTATTCTTGATACATACCCGAAATTAATAAATAGACTTTACTGTCACCTTTGACCCTAAATACCCTAAATCTGGAAGTAATTATATTTTTTAACGCAAAATTTGTCTGCAGGTCTTCTAAAAACTTCAAAGGCCCTGAAAGCTGCCATTGGGATTACAGTGGAGCTAAATGGCACTCTAAGCTCAACCATGCGATTCCTTAATTCCTTAATAACTGACAGTAGCGAAACATTGCGCCCATGTTTGCACAAAATAGGATTTAGATTGTAAATTATTGACAAACGTGGTTGCATTAAAGAGACCCAACGATTAGTGTAATGGCGAGAAAAATATTTAACTCAAATTCATCAATTTCGCGTAGTACATCGAAATATATATTATTTGGACGAAACTTGGATGATCCAGCATACAGGAAACCATTACTGGAGTTGGAAAGTTCACCCCTTGCATGAGCAAAAGTCTAGGCAGATCAGAAAAAGTCCTTGATAAGACACCAAAAGTGTAATTCGCAAAAAAAATCTTTATTTCTAACTTGATTTGATTGATAACTAGAAAAAGTTTAATCGACCATTTATGGATTTGGCAAAAATATATGTGCTTCCGAAGCTTTCATGGAAGGCCTTTCAACGGCGATTAAGGTATGTCCAGGAAAAGAGCAAAGACTAATAATATTGAAAGAAAGAGGAATTTTTAAAAGAAGCTTTTGAAATAGGCCGTGGAAGATATTGTATACCATCGGAGCAAGTGAAAGGATCTGTAACAAGACATTGAATTGAATGACATTGAAAATGAAGACCTGCGAGAAGGAAGTGGGATAGAGGCTGTGATTTGCGCTTGCGCTTGCGCATATCGATAGGTAAAAAGGAGTTTATAACCTTAAAACCTTGGATCAATTTTATAGTCAAGCAAGAACGTTCCTATTGAATATTTGTTGAACAAAGGGAAGAAAATTTCGGAGGTTTGCACTGTTGAACTAGAAAACCAACCAATAACCCCACGTCACAATTTTTTATAATTTAATTTCTGTATAATGATTGATAATAATGAAAAAAATATTGCACTCCATAAATAATTTTGCAGAAGTATCAGTGCCAAACAATGAAAGTACATTCTGTAGTCGCTGTCATACCTAATGAGGTTTTATTACGCCACACTTTTCTGCAATAGTCTATAGATTAAATTTTGGAGATAATGTTTTTCATTGTTTAAAATATGTAAAAGTAGACACAGACAATTATAGTGAATAAGGTATATTCCTTTTTGATAACACAACACGACCAAATTATTTTTAGGCAATTTTCATTTTATATCCTATAAGCGAATATTCAAACTATAACTTTCAGGCCAACATCTAATCAAAATTGTACTTTCTCCCTCGATTAAGCAAATAAAATGTTGATAAGTTTTTAAGAGATAAAATTGTTATATAATTAACTATCCAAAACTTTCCTAATTACGCATGAAATAAATAATTATAATTATAACAATTTTTATTATTCAAGGTGCAAAAATTAGTCAAAAGATTTGTGACTTTGGTAAAATTTAACATTTTATTTGTTTTGCTATTAACGCTAAAATAGTGCAATATTTCAAAGACCGTATGACCGTAACAGCAGCTATGAGCAATATTCCGGGTTATGAAAGAATTTGACGTTACCAGTTTTTATTAGGCGCCAGATTCCGAGGCCACATTGACACCTAGGTTTAACTTTTATTTTTTAGCTAAAACTTTGAAATTTTTTTAAGTTTTAAATTAAATAAAACCGATTAATAACATTTTTTAATAATATTTTCTCTTAGAAAACTATTGATTGCAATTAACGAAAATTAAATATTGTAAAAAAAAAGTAATGTAATATCAAAACACTAAAGTTTAATTTTATTAAAAAAAAAATACACACAACACACAGGTACATATATAAAAGGTCCGACAGCCGTCTGATGAAACTTTAATATGTGTTTTGACAGCATTCATAGACAGGATACAACTTTTCTAGAAATGAAATTATTTTTTTCGATTTATTATACGACTTAACATCGATTAAACAATGGATTGTTGTAATAGACAAACACTATATTGTAACAGACAAAACAATAGGTATGCGAAACTGCTGGGGTTAAATCTGCTTCGCATCTCTTGCAAAACGCACTTCTCATAATTTATAAGTATTTTTCTGTAAACCCCTTCATTAAGAAAGTCGAGCTCATAACGATATCACATTTTTTATTTTGTTGTCTTCAAAAATAGGTCTTAAATAAGTCAATCGATAAAAAAATCACTAGAAAAAAAATCGCTGCGGCTTTAATCGAAGACAACAGATAGGTATTGGCTGTGATACTAGATATTTTTCTTAAAGCACTTCTTGATGGTTTACGTAGTACAAAAAAATTCATACGACTTCAAATGTTCTTAACTAACATGTTTTTTGGGCGGTTCAAGAACAGCACATGATAATTATTGTTTTGTCCAGAAGAAAGAAAATTTTAGTGACGATGAATTTTTATACTTGTTTTCATTAAACAGTTTAGGGATCTTTATGACCACTGTCATTCTGCCATCACTATTTCAAAACAGAATCTTTATGTTTTCTCTGTAAAATGTATCAAGAATTCTCCGACGATTTTTTAAAGTATAAGTTAGGTGAGCCTAACTATACTAAAAGTATTATTATCCTTGAAACCACATTGTGCCAATTAATTTGGCAGATAACAAGACAAGAATACATGAACAACCATGTTAGTGAATTTTCCAATATTTTTTACAACGAAACTCCGGAAGTATCAAAAGCCATTACAGAAATAGACGGTACATACATAAAAATTGAAAAAAGTAGAAAATTTAGGGTTCTAAGAAGATCAATTTCTGTGCACAAACCAATACTATAACTATAACCATGGGCCGTACCTTCTCAGACAGTCACAGGGACGCACAAGAATTTTTAATGCGATCACAGATACAGATTGAGGTCCCGGTACAACTAGGCAACACACTGCAATAACTGACAGTGACAGCTACAGATTTAACAAAACAGTTCTATTTATATCGTATATGAAAGCCTTATTCGCAAAGAGAAAAACATTCACCTTTAATCTGTGGGTGATTTCTGTTACATCCTGTAAATATAAAAATATATCATCCAAATAGCTTACTATTTTTTGAACAAGTTTTGTGTTTGATGTTTTTTCCCAAACGTTAAATAAAAAAGTTACAGGGGGAGGGGCGACATTATGAATGACGGTACATGTCGATCGGAAGCTCGTACGGTGGGAACATATTGCGATATAGCGAATGTCTTGTGGCTTTCAGGTATGCTGGACACCAGGCATTAAAATAATATTTTCGAGAAAGTTGAAGATGCCGCCAATATGAATGTAATGATGCCCTTAGTGATTTAGCAATGTAAACATATATTTATTAAAGCAGCTGTATTCGCCGAGTAATAAAAACCTGTATTGTAGTTTCAGAGATTGATAGTTGAGTTGGAAAAAATTAGAAAACTATATTTAAGTTTTATGTTATTGCCTTTTTTATTGTATAATATAAATATTCCAATTTTTTTGCTAACTTTAAAAACATATCAAAATATTTCCTCCTCATTAATATAAATAGATGACTTGGGATGTGATATTAGTATATAGAAAGTGCTCGGTAATGAAAAATGAACATACTGCTTTAGTTTTCAGACTCGTTGTCTCGAAAATCTTTTCTCTGCGACTGTTACGATTCATAAATAAAATATTTAATGTACCTACTTAATTAACCGATTTTTTCGAAAGTGGATTTTTCTTTTTTAAACATATTCTGAAAAAAAATGCTTCCGTCATCTTGAATTGTATGACATTTGTCATTTTGAGGTCAGGAATTTACTATTTACTATTCTAGTGCACCAAAAAGACTTATTGTTTTAAAATCGGCTATTAATAAAAAAAGATTAAAGCAACATTTTAAAGTTTGCATTTTTTTATAACTTTATAACACAAATATATGATCTTTAAAATATTCCATTATTTTAGTCGAGGAAAGTAAATAAAATGTTAAAATTTGGTTAAATTTTATCGAAGCCACAAATCACCTATAATCAGTGCGGGGTCCTTTGTCACTGCAAGAACACCCTTTATAACTACTATGTTTGCGCCTTCCTGCATAGTATGTAAATAAAAATTGCAAAAAAAATTTTCTCCAACGGGCGATGGTGAAAGTAAGAAAGTGAAAGCAATATCAATAGCTACAGCGCGAGGAGCTCTAAAGAACGCCACGTCGAGTAAAAAATAATCTATCAAGAAAATCGAAAGATAAATGTAGATAAATAAAAAAACATTACCCAGCATCGGAAAATAAACCAGTGGTATGTGGAACAAATAAATGGATGATTTATTTTATATACACATGGGGGCACTTACAGAAAATCGAAATAAAACAGGTAGCGGAAATTTCAGTCTACTAAATGGATACAGTAAACGAGGATAATAAATAATGGGATGATCGTTCTATGTACACTAGGGAGTATATATATCAACTATGATTTATTTACAGCACTAAATCTAATCAGGGACCATGGTATATATTATATTTGCGATTTAGGATTGTTGTAGACATTTTTGGCGATTTTCACTCGCCTAAAATGTCATATTTAAAGATATTTACAGTTCAGTTTGTTCGGAACAATACAACGGCAAATCTTACCTTTAATGTCGTCGTCTTCTAGAGTGGTCGAGCTGTCGGTCGATTCTTTCACTTGAGATCCGTCACCTTTTTTCACAATTATGCTTCGACCTAGAAGGGCAAACATTTAGTAAAACCGCTGGCAGTCCAAGAAAATAGAAACGATTCAGAGATAAAAACGAACCAATTCAATATAAGGTGTGACCTATTTGTTCTGCGTTTAAAAATAGGAGCAAGTATAGCTAATAAATCATAGAATAGGTCATAAATAAGTAGATGCATAGAGTTCGGACGATCATAACCTCAAACTTTAAAATCGCCTCCCTTGCCCCTCGCGTGGCTCCGATGCTTGTAAGGTGTGCTCCGCCTCTGGAGTGTGGATCCGATGCTTGTAGGGGGGCGATTGTAAGTTTTGAAGTTATGTGAGTCCGAACTTACTTTATGCAATTACTTAAATACGTCTCATAAAAGAACCAAAACGGTTGAATAATTAAAGGTTTAATAATATCTGCAACGTTGCCACCTGTAAAGTTTTTCTTAATTTTCAGGCATTATTACTTTGAAATTACTATGATCCTGTAATATCAAATTTGAATTCTTTTCAGTGTTCTTTATCAATACGGAAAATCAGTATTTCGTTAAAAAATATGAAAAAATTTTAATATTTCGATAAATCGATTTTGATATGACGACAAATTAATATATAATATTTTGCTTATTAATATATTATAATTTTTTAATAATAATATATTTTTTTTTAATATTTTTTTTTGATTTGATTTTTAATAATTTTAATGATTCAAATATTTGAAAAGTATCATATTTTAAAGTAATAAAAAAAAAATAGATAAAAACTTATTCCAACTTGAACAATTTTAATTAAAGCTTATATTGAGCCAGTACCTGAGTGAGCACTTTTTAATTATCCATCGAATGGTATCAGTTGATCCTATAGATAACTCTTTCTGATGTTGTTTAGTTCAAATTAAAAAGCACACAAAAATTGTTTACTGACTTTTCAAGCATATGCCGAAAGGTTCCCGTCAGTATTACTAGATTATCGAACAAACCCAAAAAGTCGCATTGACTCCGCTTCAGACTTTACAACTGATTTAGATCACTTTTTATTGTTATTTAATAGCTGAGTTTTGCTCTGGTTGCTAATAAAATTAATGAAAAACCAGCCATTTTTTTCATTTATAGACCGGAGTCCCACCTCTTCTCTTTTGGAAAAAGCAAGAAATTCGTTCAGACGTACTTCAGACCAACTTAATATGACATGTCACTATCACACTCAATAAAACAGAACCATTGAAAATTTACCGAAATACACTGAATGCTTGCGCACTGCATATTAACCGTAAGTATTTTTCCGAATTATAGAACTTCTATATAGCATCTTCATCCTCATGCGCATCTAAATTTAGACGGATTTTTAAAAACAATAATGCAAAACTATTGGTCTAAAATACAACTTTCTAGCAGCAGTTTTTTTTTGAAATATGTTTGAAATTAAACATTGTTAAAATATTTACTTATTTACTTTTACTATCTATGAATACGTTAATACATTTAATACGTTAATACGATTTTAATGTTGCCTACACGCACCAAAAATTTAAAATCTCTGTATAATATTTTAAAATTACCAAATATATTAATCCTTAAGCGAAAAAAGAGAAAAGTCTAACCTAAAATGTTTGGATCTTCTATTCTTTTTACGGTTTCAGGCATTTGATTTTAGTCAAAACCCGAAGTATGTAACCTCTTGATTACTATGCTAACAGTAACTAAACAAGTAAAAACGAATGAAGGACAGCAATTCCCCATGATTAGGTTACAAAACTTGTTCAGTTTATATTCGCATAATATTTATATAATTTGTAAATCTTACCGAAAGCGATAAGTTTCAAGTATTACGTTTAGTTTCTCAAAATGTATTTTTGCAAGTAAATTACAATTAATAGTGATTATAGTGGATACTATTTCGGTGCATTGTAATATCTGAAACCCCAATTTGTAATAAATAAATCAATCAATACGTAAAATCAATTTCCTAGTCAGCTAGAGTTTGGAAAATATTGTACTGTATGACGTACACCATCTATATTTCTAAATGTATCTTAATCTTTATTATTATTATTGCTTTCGAAAGAATCATGCTCGTGTTATCTTTTAACACAAAAATATATACAACACAGTGCTGAAAATGATGTTACGTTTGAAATTTTTCAAAATAATAATTCGCAGTAGGGATAGGAAAATCAACAATGAAATTTTTTCTCAGAGATTAAAAATAACATGAAAGGAAATCGAGAATAATTCAACAAACCATTTTTTTTCTATTCACAGACTTATTAATGAACAGCTAGGGCGAGAAACTCAGTATAAATGAATATACAATGTGTTAATTTACTTTGGTACTTGGAAATGTAACAACAAAAAGTATTTTTTAGTTAATTTCATAGTAATTTGACGAAACTTAAGATTTAAACAGAAATAACGACGTGCTGAATGAAATTTTTCGATAGATAGGCTTCGCCAATTAACATAATTAAGATTTGGCATTTATTAGGTAGACACTCGTACTTCGAGTATTTTAATTGAAAACAACATCGAGGGTTTAGAAAAACGAATAAGCCACACCTTATAATTCTTGAGGTTTCGCGTTGTTATTAATCAAAAGACCGAAAGCGCCACTTCATTAACCTGAATTTTTTATATTTTCTTTGATTTAAAATTCTGTTTTGGTTGATTAAACAAAACACGCACTGCGAAATAAAAGTTTACTAATTAAACATGCCTAAAGTCGGGAAGTTAAAGCTTGGGGCGGTAAAAATAAACAATGAAAACCAAAAATTAACATGGATTTTAATCGAGAATAAATAACGGTAATATCAGGGTAAAAGTTTTTTCTATAATTTTCAAAAAAACAGAAGCAAAATTTTGTTCCCGAAATTTAAAGGTAATTTTCCGGTTTCAGTTAAGGTCTAAAAAGCCAACATGAAGATTGGCATTAATTTGCAGGGTAAATAGAATAATATAAAAGAACGTTAGTAAACATGGGCCCGAAATAGCAAAAGCGGCCCCAAAAATTGTTTTTTATTATTTCTGAAACGGTTTAAGACAGCTAAATAGAAATTTAGACCACAATTATCTTGATTTATCTTGATCAAAGTGACTACTGACAAAGTAAGCTCAAAATTTTCAATATTTCTACTTCAATAGTTGTTTCTGAAACAATTATTATATTATAGATAGTCAGTTCTTAAGTATGAAAATTGCTTAAATTCATATATAAATTCGGCCAGCATTATTTGCTAAAACCACAAATAAATTAGAAATCAATATTTGATTGACTTTAAACGAGAGTATGTTTTGTATGAAAAGCTGCTGAAAAAGTATTGTTTTGCGAATAAAATTGAACAGATCCAAATAAAAAAGTTGGCGATTCCTGAATCGTTTGTAACCTATGCAAAAAGGCTCCAGGAGATAACTGGATTTCGATCGGGCTAGTATTTTAGTGCACCAGGTGGCTTCATTAGTATGGTGGTTCGATAACATATTTTGATGACCAAGAAAAATTACTGGTAATATTTTTTCAAGCTTATATTATATCTTTCGTACGCAAGGGGGCGGGTAATTGGACGAAAGTTTTAACTTTTGAAATTATTTCATCAGTTTCAGAAAATAGGTCAAACTGACGAGACTAAAACGGCACATCAAGCAGAATAACTCACTAAGTTGCAACAGGCCCTCCATTTCCATGATCCATTTCGGCACAGAAATCAATTTACCTAATTAATATACCAAGGAAAATATAATTATAATGTTCTTGGATTTTAAATTGGCTTTATTAAATACGAAAAATATAAAATACAAGATGATATCGGAAAAATATCTGGAATTAAAAGTAAAACTCACCCTGTATATGGTTTATTAAATTATTATTATTAACATAATAATATACCATTTTAATATATTCTAGTTTCGATAATGTGTTATGTTTGTATCTTGTGTTTTTCTTACCAATAAAATCATATTTTTTCCCTTCAGTCTTCTTTTGTGTGTCGAATCGAACACGGGCGTTCATTTCGTTCCTTTTTTTTTAAGTGATGGTGCACAATTTTAGCGTTTAGTCGGGTAAGATGACCGGTGATAAAAATAGACGAAGTAAGTCGAAAGGAGGAAATCCAAAGTTTAGATAATTCTACTGAGGGTTATGGGGATATGCATATATATATATATATATATATATATATATATATATATATATATATATATATATATATATATATATATATATATATATATATATATATATATATATATATATATATATATATATATATATATATATATATATATATATATATATATATATATACATATATGCACTCCCTTCGGAAGATGAATATTCGAATAATGATAGGTTGTCGCTGACAACAACCTGCAGGTCTCGTGTTTTTTGTTAAAACATTATTTTTATTACGATTTATGGTTTGTTTGTTGTTATTTGTTAAGAATGGGTGTGTTATTTGATGACACATAGCTTTGTGTTATTTGTTGACACAGATTATTTTTATTACGATTATGGATTGTTTGTTGTTCTTGTTAACAACCTTCATGTGGTTTTTGGAGACACCTATATATAGTGATTCCCCTTTGGTTTTTTTCGAAACACCCTGGGGCTGGCGGTGGAGATATCCAAGGTTTAAGTGTTCAGAGTGTGGATCACTTTCAATCAAAATCAATACAGGCGGGCTATAGGAGAGTATTTTGCAGATTTTAGGGTTTGAGCCTACTAAAGCAGAGACATAAGATCCGCCTATTCATGCAGCTGGATGGATACCTTGATCAATGGTGATCAAGTGATGAAGTGAAATCGGAAATTCTTAAGAAATATGTTATTTCTGAAAATTTTCCCTACCTTAAAGTACCCAAGTTAAACCCGGAGACTAAGGTAGCTCTTTCGGTATAGATCCTATATAGGGACGAATGTATGGTTAGTAAAGAAGCGCAACTTTCTGGTTGACTTTCGGCTCTCGGTCTGGTCTTGACTTCACTGCTTTCAAAGGAGGGAGAGCGGAACGATTATGGTGTCAAGCTTA